TTTGTTTTTAAAAATGAGCCAGAGTTCATAGTAGCCTGCGTTTAGGAGTGTTCTTAAATAGCCCAGTCTTTTGTGGGGAGGGGGAAGAACACGCAGGCCATCCTTCCTGCTCTTTCCTGTGCTTTGAAAGTCTTTTGACAAACTGTAGAGCAACCATAAAGCTTAGTGCTTGTAATTCCAGTGAAACTTTGTGATGCCAGTGAAGGGGAATAGCTGTGGAACTGAGATTTGGAATATTGTGATGAAAGGAGGTTTTGGAAGGCCAGGAACTGAACACTTGAGAAACCCTAGCTCTAAGGGTAGAAACTCACTCCTCAGAATGTGGATGAAATAAACGAGTATACGCTGAAATATACTCAGGCAGGCTTTTTTCACAGAAGTTTTATGTGGAGGTTTTTCTGCTGGCCAGTGTTTCTGAAACTGTTTTCATTTACTTTCTTTGGCTTCTTGCACAAAGCAGGAGTCAGCTGCTACACTAAATTTCTACGTCGGCCAATTTGCTAGCAAGGCTTGCATAAATTACGGATGGGTAGCTAGTACCTCAGGTTGTAAGACCAAGTATAAATAAGGTGGAGATAGACTGAGGAGGGTGACTCAACAAATGAAAACAGAATTAAGGTAATCCTTCAGATCTAATCAGAGCTTTCATTTGTAACATCATTGACTGGAAGTTGTAGAGAATACATCCTGGTGGAGGAATAGCTTTGTGAAGAACCCTTTTTAACTGGACTTCTCTTGATACTGAAGACATCGTACATCCTGGTAGTCCAGGACACCTTAAGTATGGCATTTAGAAAAACTTGCTAACAACTGAAGAGGGTCATCTGTCAAAATCTTAACATAAAATGCAGGATGTGTGGTTTTTTGTAATTCAAGGAGCCTTGCTATTATGAATTATCTTAGTAGGTTGATGCTATAATGTCAAACTAGAATCTAAAAAATTATTTGAGCAAGATTATAATAAAATCAGCATTGAAAGTATGTTCTAACAAAATGTAGAACCTCAAGAATATTTTGTAATAACTATTTAATGCTGTAAAAACTTTGACTAGTGTTCACTCCAAATGCCAGTCTTAAAAAGCATATTGAAACTGGCAATTCCGTAAAACTAGCACTTTCATAACTTCTCACTGTCATACTTTCTCACAAAATGACTTGGAGAAGAGCTCCACCTAAGCTCTGGAGACTCACTTCTTCCTCCCTACCCCGATGTAATTTGAAGGGGGTCTTATTTTAGTTAGGCTGCTACGGTTTGAGGCAGTTTTGATTTTGGGGTTTCTTATTAATTTATATTCACAATTCTTTTTCCAAAGGAATAAACTACCTGGATAAATTCACATAGTCTACAGCATTTCATGATAAGCTCTTGCACTGTTGTAAGAGCTCTTGAAACTTAGGCTTTTAAAATACTGATGTATATGAACTGCCAAGGGTTTGTACTTGTATAGTTTCATTTCTGAGTAATTACTGTATGCAAAAGCAGATCTGAGCTGGCCAGGACATAAAGGAAGAAGTGTGCTTCATTTTTGGAAAGCTTATAGTATGTGCATACTGCTCAAACCTTGAGACCCACTAATCCTGTAGCTATCTGATACTAGGTGTATCTGTAGCTGTAAGTAATTAGGCTGTAATATAGAAGTGCACAATCTGTTCTAATCTACTTGCAAGATTTTGTTGCTTGATTTCATAGCTGACGTTAATACCAACAGCAAGGCTGTAACTGGTATGGACAACTCATCAATTTGAAATGATAGAGGAAACACAGAGGGTACTGGCTGAGCACAGATGACTCTGCTGCCAAAGTAATGAAGCCATAAAAAGCACAAGGCATTAGTAAAAGGTTGCAATATGAGCACTTGTGGAAATCTTTACATAGTTGTCCATAATGAAGCAGCATGAGCTAAACCTCTGACAGGTGCGGAAAAGGGGCCGCTGAAATGGCTGGGCCCCCATGACTTCAAGAGTAGGCATGGATGACTAGCTTTAAGGTTAAAGGGCTTAGTCACCACTAGTTAAAATATATTTTAGTTTTCTGTTAGGTACTAAACCCTGGTCGTAGAGAGGTGTTTTTTGGTGTGGGTTTTGTGTTTGTGGGTTTTTTTTGGTGTTCTTGATAAGCATTATGGCATGCTTGCAGAACAAGAAATAGGGCTTGGTCCCAGGAGGCTTTCAGTCCTGTGTTTTGGGATTAGCCACTGTTAGCTGTAAAGAAAACCTCTCTGATGTGCTTACTTGACTGAGTTATTTCTGTTTTCTTCCCTGCACAAGACATGGAGCACTTGGGCAGGGCAGGCAAGAAACATTTTAAATGAACCCAGGAATCAAAACTTAATTGAGACTCACAGCAGAGTAGGGCACACTTACAGAAACTTCTTTAACCGTGCTCACGTTTAGCAGTGGGAGCAAGTCCGAGCAGAACTCCAGCTCACGGAGAGTCTAAGGGAAGGAAATACCCTTTCGTGTTCAGCAGTTGTTGGCCATGACCTTGGGTCAGGCACGTCATGAGAATGTGGAAGGGAACTTGGCAAACACGTATTTCATCAAGTAACAACTTCTGCGTAGGCCTTGCTTGAATTCTTATTTCCAGTTTGAGCTAGCCTTGTGAGTTAGCCAGGACTGACAACCGCTACCTGGTCAGAAGTAGGATGGAGCGTGCAACGTAAGTGCAGTCAAGTGTCCTGGCAGAAATGCTCATCTGTGAAGTCACATGGATGTGTCAAACCACTAAGCACTATGTTTAAAATTAGTTTAAACTTGCTATTTAAGTCTATTACCGACAGCAGGCACAGTTCAAAGATGTGAAAAGTTACCCATGTTACTTAAATTCTCTTTAACTGGCGTACATAGAAGTTACTGTGACAGCCTGTGCCGTAGCGCCGTGCCTACCGTCGCGCGTTGCCTGGCCCACCTTGCTGTAACACTCTGAATTCACAGTGCTTCTTCCCTCCTGTTAGGAGGAGTGGACTGATGATGATCTTGTGGACTCAGTGTAACCTTGAAGGAAGATGGAATCCTACCACTGCAGAAACTGCTCTTCAGTGTCAGGGGTGAGCCTGTCTGCCACAGGTTCCTTGCTCTGTGTCGCGAGGTATTTATTCTGTCAGTTTTCAGTATCTTTGCAATAAAGCATTTGACTTTGCTAAAATAATTCATTGTAGTTCCATTAAACCCTCATCCATTCAGGGTCAAACATTAGTAAGAAATGTTTGCTTTAAGAAATCTGTCACTTGGGGAAGAGTTTGAGATGTGACTTTAGCTACTGCTGTGCTGTAATCCTACACTTAGGTCAAACTGAGGCATTTAGCGAACTGGATAAATGCGGGCAGGAGACGGGTCTGGTAACAGACCCACGCGTGCTCCCCTCCTCCCCAGCTTGTCACTGGAGCAGCTAACAGAATGCAGATGTGTCCGTAACACTTGGTACGTTTGGGAAGCTCTTCTCAAATGTACCAAGAGGCTGTAGCAACTTATTTTACAATATGAAAGTAATCATCACACCTCTGTGACTTGCTCTGCAGCTGCGATCTCTGGTGAGGTTGCTGTCACTAACTTACCTGGGGACAACTGAGACGACTATTTTAAAAATCTTCTTAAGTAGTTAGATGTCTTCCAAATCTAGAGCAAAGTCTATTTGCTTTAGAACATAAGCAGTTCTATGTACACACAGCTAAGTGCAACTTTGGGAGTTTCCTGGTTTCGTTCTCCTTTCTGCATTTTGTGTGTAATAGGTGAAGAGCCAGCCAAATCTGTTCTCCAACGATTGTATTTTTACTATGTTATACTGCCTACACCCAGCCAACTAAATCTACAAAATAACCCACTTTACCCACTCTGGTTTTTTTGAGAAATCCTTCTATACCAGCATCATCCGCTGACTAGTCAGGGAAGAAAAGCAGCTGTTGCAATTTCACTTCAGAAAGCCTGACACCGTTTACACACCACCTTCATAGTGAAGTGAAGCAACTGTGACACGGTTTAAGTCATTTACTGAAGTTCTGAACTGGCTGTAAGCAGAGCAGTAGTTAATCACACAAAAAACGGTTACGAACTGGGACTGTGACTTGTGTGACCTAACCAAGTAGGGCACAAAAGAAGATGAATCACCTTCTCCTCTGAGATGCAGTTTAATACAGGCTTGGCAGCAATAGCAAGTGGTTTTATGGGACAGTCTAAAAAAGAATTTGGTAGTACCAAGATCTTGCAAATCAGGCTGTGTTAAGAGCATCATTTGTCTGCTCAGCGTAGTACTCATGACCTGCAAGCTCTCAGCTACAGCACTGGGCACCCACCTTCAAGACAGTTGCCCCCGCTGGAGAGACCGGGGCAGCACAGCGAGACCCAACAGCAAAGACCCACAGATAAACTCTACGCAATTTGGCGTGACAGTGAATGGAAAAAGCAGTTCTAAAGGACAGGCGATCCTGTGCAGCTGTTCTGATGGTGTAACAACCGCATTCATATTGCACAATCACTTATGTGACCGTCTCATGAGTCTTGTCAGTCAATCTCAGCATCCTTTTCTTCCTTATTAGATCACTGCCTAGAAAAGTTACAAACGGTGATGCTGAAATACCCCTGAATCAACTGCATATTTTAATTTTTTTAACAGTTTTAACACCTGCTTTCTCACCTTGTGAGAGAGATGTACAAATGAAGGCATATGGAGGATTCATGCTAAAAAAGTGACACCGCATGAACATTTCAAAGTGTATTCGTGTGCAGACACTGTAAAAAATTTCCACAGCAGCCAAAGTTAGGCAGTTTCCATAAAGAGTTGATCTGCAGCTTGATTTATTTTAAAATCTTAATTTTCACTTATAAAAATAATATTTATGGTAGACTTACAGTACACAAAAGACCAACCAATACATATTTTATAAAATGGTTTAATGAATGCATGCATGTCTGATACAATGATCAATAAATTTACTGAATTCAAATTATTTACTGTTGTAAACATTTTACAAAAGCATTGTGATTTATCTGGATATACAGTTCTCGATGGAAGAACTATTCAGACTGAATCAGTGGCACATCAGAAAATAAAGCTGACAAGACCCATTCTGCATATTCTCTTTCAACATGATTCCAGCAAGAGAAACAGCATGGTATAAAAAAGTGTACAGTAAAGATTGTTCCTACCATAACATCGAATTCTGGAAACTGTAAATACAAGTTAAAGTGGTTGAAACAGTCAAAAGTCGTAATTATTGTAACCAGTCAGAAATTACGGTAAGAAATGTTATCCAGTTATATGTAGCTGTCAAAACGACACATTTCTTTTCATGTCAGTTGATAATTCTTTTCCAACAAGACAGCAAAACTTTGGCAATCAGAGGTGCTGAAAATAATTTTCAAAGTTCAAGACACAGTCACAGCATTTTCTTTGCAGAAGGTGAACTGTACACCAAGGCTCAGAGGTTGTGAAAACTGTTTCCAAATGGAAAAAAGTGCAAATGTCCTGCACAGATAGCTTAAAAAGCTGCTGGGACAATCGTTCACCAACAGGATCTTTGTTTTCTTTTTGCATAGTTCACACATCACTGGGAATGTGACAGGGCGTGCTGTTTTTGGCAAGAGCAAGAAGAAAGTGATACTGGTGTGAGTCGCCATGTTGGGCATGCTGGATCCATGCAGAATTCAGGTAGAGGGCTGCTACCTGGTGTTATTAGACACTGAATACTGATTTTGTTTTTGTTGAAGCAGTTCAGTAATAGCCAAAAGCTTCTTAAGAACATGCTGTAGAAAGAGAGTCAGTAAAACCATACGTTAGCAACTGGAAACAGAACAGTCTTGCTTGAGAAGCATTTTCAGCGTTAGCCTATCAGATCTGCTACTAGGTAGTTTAAAACAAAAAAAACAACTGACCAGACAAACAAAAAACCCAGCCGATTCCTTAGACAGTAAGACACTGCTTCAACAGGGAAGTCTAGAACAGCATTTCCAACTTTGCTTCTCCCCCCTGGATCCTTCTGCTGCTCTGTGGTTTCACAGGGAGGCTAGGGAAGTGTACTGCTCACACACTGTTGGGGTTTGCTAGAAGAGTTTGCTATGTTTGTTTACAAATGTACTGGCAAATTGGAACACAGAAATGGGAGGTATCAGTAGAAAGCTAACGAAAGTAAATTTAGTTCTCAACTGAAAAAAACCAACGTCCTAAAACTAATGACCCGAGAGCCTGTCAGGAGACAGTAATTTTGTGGGTTTAGGCTTCCTCTAGAAACTAAAACTTCCTCTGGAAACTTTAAAAACCTCTTCGGTTTTTGTTGAAACAGAACTATGGACTAAGTATTTACCTTTACAGCTAATAACCTCCCGGTGAAATTTTAAAACATTTATCAGTCATTCTGCTAGCCAGAAATACTCCAAAAGCATCCTGATACTAAGGGGTAACTCAAGACATACTGTCTGTACCTGTGATTTGTTCGTTAACCTTTGTCGCTCACCTGCATGACACCTCGCTCATTACTGAGCGTCCGGAGTTCATCTGAGTGTGCCACACATATCTCATGCAAGGCCGCCAGATCACGAGATAGGTCGGTTCTAGAGTGCTCTGTAGTGTCTGGAAGCTCAGGAACGTTCTTCAACAAAAAAGATGAGAGCAGATTTAGGGCGCTGAGTGCCCGGGCACACCGGGAGATCAATGACAGCTCTACAGCTCTGCCGACACAATGGTTTTATACCGCAAGCAAGTCCTGCAATGTTAAGTCTTCCCAGCTAAGCCTCCAGTCCACCTTTCTGTTAGGAATTATGTATTTCCTCCTCTCCGCAAGCATGCGTTGTATGAGTATACTGCAACTTCTGCTCCTGCTGGAAGGTTCTTACTAAAGGATACGGTTGAGCTGACCAGAAAGCTACTGCGTATGGAGACTCGTCTTACAACCTTCCCCTAAATGAGGGGGAATCCATCCATCAGGAGCTTTTTTTCATGTAAATGAGAGAACAGCAGCAACAAAAATTCACCAAAATCTGTACCTATCAAGGAACTCATTACACTGGTCATAAAATAACGTCGTCATTAAAACAAAAAATTAAGCCAACGGTTATTTTCAAACCAACGGTTTTCAGAGACCCACGCAAAATCTGTCATTTAAAGAAAACTGACATAGCATAATATGCAGAAGTTACAATTTAACCAGAAAAAGGTGACATATGGCAACCTACCCAAATGCCACACTCATTTTTATATCTTATCAAAATAATACGAGATGTCTTCTAGGTCACTTTAAAGGGATCAATTCAGGAAACTTGGCACATTTTTTTCATCTTGGTTTTTAAAATGCATTCTTGGTTTAAAAATACACATATATAACATGAGGTCCTAACTCCTATTATAGCGATCATGCACACAACAGTAACAGTTTAAAAGAATACAGTAACTGCCGCTCACTTGCAAGCTATAGTATCTAGAATGCGTGCAGTGACACGTTTGGTAATGGGTAACTGAAATTCAACCTAGTATTTTTCAAAGCAAAAAATAATTTCAATCTCTGGTCAAAACCATATGACAAATTATATATAAGAATTTTTGTTTTAAAACATTTTTAAAGATTTGTATTTTTGGCCAGAATTTCTAATCCTCACGGCTACAAAATTTATTTGAGCTTCTCACATCTACAGAGGCACTAAATGAATAAAGCCTAAGATGTCATTTGATGGTTTTAATTCCGTATGACAAGCCAGCAATCTGCAGTTTCTAAACATGCATACGAACAATTTATTCAGTTACAAGCATTCAGAATTGCATGGGAGCTGATGCATTTTTGAGCTAGTTAATAAAAAGTGTAAAGAATTTTCATTTACAATGGTTGCTATGTAACTTCCAGTAAAGATTTTTTTAACCACTTACCCCAAGTTCATCCAAGAACATGATCATGCGATGTTTGTTGCTCTTGATGAATGGATTTACCCCTTCCATATATGGCTCCTAGTAATTTTTAAAAGTATTCATTAGAACAAATCAATGCCAAGATAATTGTCATGCCTGAAGTGAACACAATGCAGTCAGACAAATTACATTGCAAAACAAGTATGTCATCTGGAGTGATTTTATTTTTTTCAAGTGAATTTCTAATGTCCAGTGTGCAGCCAGTCAAAAGACTCCAGAATTCATATTTTCTTATATTCAGAAGATTCAGAATCTCCGATTCATATACATGCATACTGACATGAATTTGCATTAAGATGAATGCCTCTCAATACCTAGCTGCAACGAACAAATGCTCTATTTTCAAAAGTATGATCAGGAATAAGTGCCCTCTTTCTTGTTCTTTCATTAATGCTTACATTCCAAGTTATGTGTGTCAGAGAAATAACTTTATAATGCCAGCCTGAAGTCACTTTCATTATGCTTAAGTCAACAGATTTATTTTTCAACCATGTTTCGGCCTGGGAACTGAGACAGACCAGTTGTTGCTGGCATTCTCTTAGTGTTATAATAGAAACTTTATTGAAAGGTGGGGCTTTTTAGCGTAATATGTACACTTGATTTACAACATTAATTATGTCTAGCAATATGAAAATGAGTAGAAATAGAAGGGGTGCTTTAAAGTGCTCTACCACAGGCAACACCAATCTAAGGAGTAAGTAAATGCAGCATGAAAGAGTCGGAGGTTGGCAGTTCTTAATTTGTTTTGGAATTGGATAATCTATACCAAGCTGGGAATTCAGGCCTGATTAGTTTCAATCTGAAAGTTCATTACTATATATAGATAGAACACGTGTGTGGAATGCATTTCAAGGCTATATACAGCAGCACACCAGTGTTCAGCACCACACTGAAAGATGTCCCCCCTTTGACACCAAATAATCAATGGAAATGCAAAAAACCCTCCCATCATCTATTCAAGACTGAATATTTATTCTTCTGATTCTTTCCCATCACAGATTCCTGCTCCAGCAATTCTCAGTTGTCTTTTTGATACGGATATTCCAAAAGAAAATGTGGCCATTTTACCATCATGGACACTTTTGTGGTGGTAGGATGGCTGCCTGCCTTTCGTCTCCCACTTCTCCCCTCTAACGCAGGAAACACTGGAGTATGACTGCTATGTTTTCTGTCGCAAACGGAAAAAAGAATGGTCCACATACTTCCAGTGTTGTCTGTGGAACAAACGCCTGCCGAGTTTATCTGTGTTCTCAAGGCATCAATAGATGGTTGCATCACACTCTGTAACACCTGCTGGTATGGTCATTCTTTCCATCAGTTATTCTAACAGACCATTGTTGGTGTTCCTACTACCAGATTCAAGATCTTCATGGGATGTACCAAGTTGTTCATGTGAGTTTCTAGATCACTTCCTCTCAAAGGATTATGGCTCCTCTTCCCAACTTGACCAGACTTTATGCTACTGCTCTAATTCTTACCCTGTCTAGCTCTAAGTGAAGAGGACAGAAGAAAGTGCAGTGACAAGGCCTCCTTGCTGATGAGGACAAACAGGTGATGTATCAGGCTTTGCACGAGAAAATGGCAACAGATTTTTGCGTGTATTAAACAGGAACATTGAAATGTACTGGAAACATAGTTCTAGGATGTTCCGTGTGTGTAAAATCATATTCACCTTAGCTCCAAATTCAACCAGGTTTGCTAAATTCTGCACAGACTTGGCGACCAGCGTCAGCGTTCTTGCAGCAGTGGGGGAAGGAGAGTCTGGCAGGAATACGAAGTAGAGAGTTACTGGCCATTCCAATTAAAACTAACAGCAGCCACATGAAAGTAAAGCTCTTCTCCAATTCATATTTTTTCATGGAATAAAATATTTTTAATATAACAGAACTGCATGTCGAAGATGTCATTGGGTGAAGTAAAACATATGTTGCTTAATAATGTCCACAAAAATATATTAATATGAACATCTGATTATCTGTAACAACTGCATACAGAACAAGTATGCAAAATCAAGTGGTGTTAGTAAGAATTATGTGAAGTAAGAACATTTTGCACAAAAATGAAGCAGTTCTGTTGAAGGGAGGATTATTTGTTGTTAGAATAAAAAAAAACCCTAATTTACCTTTAGAATAAAAAAAAAATAGGCAAGTTTACTTTTGTCCTATTTGTGTATACCCACATAAGTGGGCTCTGACAAGTTCTACAAATTACACTTTAAGTTACTGGCATCAGGAAAACGGAGTAAACATTACATGCAATCGTGGCTTGTATTTCCATGAAATTATAGTCACTTGCTGTACTTAACATTCCACTTAACACTTTACATTAACCACTTTGTCAGTTAAAACTTCCTTTTCCAAAAAGTGGTATTACCCAGTAATATCTTACAAACTTATTTTTCCCTCCAGTTACAGTAAATGGCCTGGTTGAAAGCCAGGTTTGAAGTGTTCCAAAATTGGCATGGTTATTATATAAGCTCTAAATTTTATAATTCTTCATAAGAATGTTGTATGCTCTTCACTGCCTACCGGCATCTTTTGTTATTCTTTCTTTCCCTCCCCCTCCAAAATCCACTGAAAAATAAGTTCTAGTTTTTCTTGCATAGCTGGAGCTATGCAGCTAATCTCTGTTGTTCATCGCATCTAGTGCTTGGTACAATACAAGCCTTGGAAACAGCAATGCTGGAAAACATTACTAGCCTTGGAAACTGGAACTTCAGGTTAGGAGAACTGATCTAAGGAAGTGAATTACTTTTAAAAACTCCAAGATGCTTGAAACAAAGGATTAAACTTTTGAAACAAAGATTTTTTTTCAATCACAGTTGTCGAGGCGATAGGATTGCTACCAATACTAAGCTGTACCTATATACCCAGCCTTCAGAATAATTTTTTCCCTATTATGGGAAGAAGGTATGTTGGAAGCTTTGCTCCAAAAGGAGGACTGCCTCATCCCCTTTTTGTGAACAGCTCTAAAAGCCCTGCAGAGCATCTGTAAGTTTACCTTAGCAGTAGTCAAGAATATTAGCTGGATGTACATGAGCAGGACTTTTAACACTGACAGATGAGCTTAAAAGGGATTACTCAAATTTATAGGTAACTTTTTACACCTGCAGACACAGTGCAACTCAAGTTAGGAGGTACCTAATTTGCAAATTACCTGAAGATAATAAAATCCTAAAGAAAGGATCACTGTATACCAGGCCACATTTCTCAGATGCTTTCTCCAAAGCATGTATGGAAATGATTACTGGGTGAGAGAAAGGAACTTTCTGTTCGACACAGCCCTTCTCATTTAGTATAGCTTGAGGAGAGACAACAGAAAATGGGATACATTGTCTTAAGAGCTGTCTATGAATAAAGAAAAAAAGCTTTTCTGAATCAGATTTCTGATTTCCTCCTATTTCCAAATCAGCCTTTTACTGGTAAAAATCAAGAAAGTGCTAGGGAGAAAAGGAAGAAGAGCAATGGCTAGTGCCCTCTAGATTGGGGTGATCTTTGCCAAGAAAAAAACCCAGAAAACAAAGATGAAGTATAACATACGCAAACTTAAAACTAAGCGACTCGGATACCCTAATTTTTTAACTTTAGTGATAGTTTTCACTAGTTTATGCTTTTCCTTTTTTCCTCCCACAGAAGTTAAGTTAAAAATGCCCACAAACACTTCTACGTGCTTAAAGCAACTGCCATGGGATAACCCATGCCCTCAGCACTAAAGCTTCACAACCAGAAAGCCCCACGTCAACAGCGTGTCAGGTGTGGTCCCTGACGTGGGCCACCATCCCAGCCACCCCTATGAGCTGTTTTGGAGATTGCCCTCTGATAGTGGCCAGCACTGTGCCACAGGCCAGTACAGCAGTTCTGCAGTCCTGGTCTTGCAAACAGGAATGTTCCCTGTCGCTATTTTAGTTAACTACTATAGATGCACGCTAGCAAGACAGCATCAAAAAAGAGGGTAAGACTTTACGCGGTGAGAACATTCACTTAGGCAAGCCCGTGGCCTTTAAGTCAACCAAGATTACCATCTCAAGTCTGCACAACCCACCCTTTCTAAATGCCATCCCTCTCTCTCTCATCTTTAAGATTCCGTATTTGAGATTGACTGTACTTAATGAGTCAAAGTAAAGACTTCTCCAATGGCTGGAAGCTCTCTAAGCAGGATGTTCGAACAAGTTACTCAAGCATAATTTTCTAGGTGCACAAATGTATTCCAAGCTCTGCAGACACATTTTCAACTTTATAAATCTTGTTCATTTAAGAGATACCATTGAATTTCAGCCATTAACTTTGCCATTGCATTGTGATATCTGAAAATCACACACTTCTATTTTTCACACTGCTAGAATATATTCCACATCGCTAGACTTTAACTCAAAATTGTATTATTAAATACCACAATACATGTTTTTCTGGACTTTAAAACGACATTGAGGATAACCACAATCTAACCTTTAAGGGTGAAAAGCGTATGTTGGCTGCATTATGGAGAAGTCAGTCAAGTGACATGGATATCGTGACTTTGGACACAGCATTCAAAAAAACTTCGTATTTTGCTACATTAGACACTACACTAATTTCATGCCTAGTACTATATGAAGTATTCAATCTGAAGCATATAGTCACCTGAGATGATATTAAACATCCTTGGGTTCAGGATAGCAGGACAAATCAGTCGAAGAAAAACAAAGCCACTGAAATGGGAAGAAAATTGGATTTTGTTCAGTAAAATTAGAGAATTAATGTAAAATTGTGTAAAATTAAGGATTTAAGTTAGTGTGGAATCTTTTTGAGACAGACACCAACCAGCCTGCGCCCTGTGAATACGTTAACAAATTAAGAATATCATGCTATGAGTTCAACTATGACGAAAGCTGAAAAAATAGGCATATTGATTTCCCAATTAAGATGAACTGTTGAAACCATGAGGGAAGAACTTAATTGTAAAGTCATACTTAAGCCAATCTCGGACCACACCAGCTTCAAAAAGGAGGAGCCTCTGGTCTCTGACCTCCAAAAGGTTTTCCACTGTCTGCTACCGCAAGGCATCCATCCCGCAGCCACCTGCTCCCCCAAGCCAATGTAAGGAGAAGCACAGGAGCGGGTGGGCAAAGGGAGCCTCTCTTTTGGCAGCGACACAGCCTTAGGTCAGCTTAAGCTGATCCACATCCTGATGACTGCATGCTACAGTAGAAGAGTAATATGGGATCTGCTACTTTCCTCCCAGAAGCAATTGCTGCCATCTAGAAAGCTGGGAAAAAAAGCGCTCTGTTTTGACTGCAGAACTAGGAACTCATTCAACAGAAAGCCACAATAGCCTTCAGCAGCATGAGAAAAATCTAACTTTCTGTTAATAGCAGAAGTGAAAAACATCCACCTCAGGTTAACCTCAATTCCAGCTAATCACTACACAATGAAGTGACATATGGACCAACTAAAGCAATCTATATAGTCTTTAATTTTGTTCGGAGTGCTTGGACACTACCAGCAGACTGGTTTTTACTAAGCAACACCAAAGCCTGACAACTTATAAAAGAAGGAAGGGGATTTATGCTACCTCGCCTGTTGATAAGTACACAGTGATGGTAATGTCCCTATTACTCGAAAATGACACGCATAGTAGTGAGGTTAACGCACCCTCCATATATCCAAGACACCTAATATATACTGTTACAGATGTTTCTTACTTCTCTAAGCACCATGAATTATGGCCAACAGTTCTTGGCTGTATGTGAAGCTAGAATATTTTCTATGGTGTGAATTTAAAGCTATGAGGAAGTAATTGATTTTGAAGTCATGGCATATACACCAGTTCCTCTTTTAAGTGCCCAAAGTTGAAGGCCAATGAGATATGAATCTAGCATGGACCTTCCTGATACAGAAGATCTGGTGCTTCTTAACCTGGTCAACCTGCCTAAATTAAGAATGAGTCAGTATGACTCAGGAAAAAAAGGAGAGTTTATC